GAGCCCTTTGAAGACCAGTGAGCCGGCGGTGTTGGCAGTTCTGAGACAGCGGATGCGCTTGCTCTCACTGCCAGGCTCCCACTGCCTGCCGCTGCCAGCTTGCCAGGCGGCTGTGCATCGGTAATCGGTAATCCACTCGGCACCTAGTCTCTCAGCACCTCCTTTGCATAAGGCCCCGTGGTGTCCCAGCCTGAAGGCAGCAGTTGAGAATCTCACATTCCTTTTCCCATGTCTGGGTTCACACTGCCCTCTGGTGTGTGCTTAAGGGACAGGCCTGTTTATTGAGGATTTGTGTGGGTGACCTTTGCTTGACATTGAGAAAGAGAGGCTCACCTCTACACGCTGTTTGCCTGCTCTGTGGTTAGGGGTAGTGTGTAAGACCCTCCCACCCCAATTCAACTTCCAGTCTGGAGGCTTACCAACCTGTCTCTGAGTCCTCACGTAATGCCATTCTTTTAGGCTCAAGTTTCTCTCTGCAGCAGACACTTCTCATTCTGCCAAGACCCAGTGGAACAGGGTAGAGTTTATTTGATATCTTCCCTCCCTCTGCCATCTGGTTTCCTCTAATCCCAGGATAGCTATTCTGATGACTGCTTCAGCTGCTCCTAAGAGTCGGGTCATGGGCCAGCAGGTGGCATAGAGATTGAGGCAGCTTGATCCCACATGGCTGACTACACAGTTTGAGTCCTGTCCCTGGTGGCTTGGGGATCATGCCAGGTATGTGTGTGTCCATGCCCAAAATCCCAAGAGGAGAATAGAAGAAAAGGGACTGCAGCATGGCTGTCCTCCGGGGGGAGGGGGGTTTCTCTCTCTCTCTAGTGAGTGCACGTGTCCTATACCAAAACAAAACAAAACACCCCAAACCAAACCAAAACCAAAAGGAAAAAGAAAAGAGTTTAGGGTCCCCCGACATGTCCGAGGCAGGGGAGAACGGGAACTGACCATCTCAGTCCAGTGTCTGCAACAGCCTGCCCTGTCCACCTGCTTCTGCCACCTAGCCTTGTTGTTTGTTGTCCCTTCCCAGAGCCAAGCTCCTGGTTACTGATAGTGAAGTGGCGCTCTGCAGGGGGAAGTGGGGAAACGCAGACTAAAGTCCAGCCCATGTTCTTCTGACCTCGCCATGCACCCTCCTAGAAGCACCTGCCCGTAATGATGGAGCTGCCGGGATACAGCCGTGTTTGACCTGCCATGGCAATTCCATGTGACTAAATGGATACTTCGTACATAAATTCTGTATGTGCTAGTGGTGGCCTGGAGTCCCATTTCCTGAGCTCATTCAGACCAGGGGAAGCCAGGCCTTTGTCATGTGAGGATCCTGGACTGTTGTGCTGGAAAGAGGGTCTCAAAGCTAGCTTAAGTTGGCCTCAAGGTGTGGGAGCAAACCCACTCACTGTGTCACCGAGCAGCTCTACCCAGTTCCCACGCAGGTTCTGCGGGGACTTCTGGGCCGGGCTTGGTTTGAGGCATGCAGCCAGGGGTCAACGAGGGAACCTAAGAAAAGCCCTTTTTGCCAGACTGTGTTTGACTTCTTGGCTATATGGGCAGTGTTTTAGGGGAGCTTCAAGAGGCCTTGAGGTTCTGGACACACACAGCATCCCCCACTCGCATCTGTGCTGCCAAACCCAGGTAGTGGGGGCTGCAGCACGAAGGAGGGAGCCGGCCCTGGGTGCTGCAGGCTGCTTGGGAGGCCAAGTGAGCACGGGCAGCTCGACCCGAGGCCTCCTTGGTCGGCTCGTGTACCCTGCCCAGACCTCAGGTACAGCTGGCCACCCGAGTAGGCTGGGCACTAGGCTTCTAAAACTTGCCCAGGGGATGAGGACAAAATGGCCCGGGAAGATGTATGAGTCACACTTCACAGGACTCACCAAGCATGAGAGAGAATTTCCCTTATGGGATTTACTTGCCTCCTTGGCAGTCAACAGTTCAACAGTTAGGTCTTAATATCTTGGAACCTGGGGACAAGTTAGGGACTGGGTCTCTTTCCTTCCAGGGGGTGCAAACAAGAGAGGGAGGTATTCAGCTCAGACCATCTCAATCGAGCTGGCTACCCCCACCCCCCCGGCTTATTCTCCATTAAACAAACTCATCGAGCGTCTGTATGTCAGGCCCTGCGCAGATGCTCGGCTGTCACGGTGGACAAAAAACACAAGGATCTCTGTTTTCCTGGCATGGCAGCATCTTGGGTGAGCCATCAGTAACTATTGCTGCTGCCCAGCTCATTTCTTTTTTATTTTTCTTTCTGGAGAGTTTTTTTGTTATGGAGTTTATGTGCTTGCCAGAAAGGCAGAGAGAGACAGAGAGACAGAAAGCAAGAAATCACCCCCTGGGGGAATGGCCACAATCCCTTTTCCTCCGTTCTCCTTTCAAGATCTTGGGTACACATGCACATGTGCCTGGTGTGAATTTAAGCCACTGGGTCCAGGACTTGAACTGTGGTGGACTACATGGGAGTCCAGCAATATAGCTATTACGCTGTCTCCTGGTCCCTGGTCCCTGCCCAGTTAATTTTTACTACAAAGCTGTTATCTCTCTCTTTTAAAAAATATTTATTTATTTAATTCTATTTATTATTATTATTATTTTTTAGTTTGACCAGAGAGAGACAGAAAGGGAAAGTGAGAAAGCAAGCCACCAGGTCCAGGACTCACACCACTGTTGGCCACCTGCTGGCCCCAAAGCTGTTATCTCTTATATCATGAGATAATTAAACAGAGAAAATGTTTTTTAAAACTTTGATAAGGGGAGGGGCCAGCAGATGATGTAGTGGTTATGTCACTAGACTCTCACATGGCCAACCACAGTTCCAGTCCTGCACCTGGTGGCTTGAAACTCACACTGGGAACTTGGGTTTACATGCCCAAGGTCCTGGAAGGAGAATGGGGGAGAAGGGTTGCGGCGTGGCCATCTCCCCTGGGGACGATTTCTCACTTTCACTCCCACTGTCTCTATCTCTGTCTCTCTCTCTCTTGGAAGCACATGCACCCTAAGACAAAAACCTCTTTAAAAAAAAAAGGAAAACTTGGGACCAACAGGTGGCAGGCATGGTGGTTAAAGGTGCTGGATTCCCACATGGCCAACTACTTACTGTTCGAGTCCCAGATCTGATGGCTTTCTTTCTTTCTTTTTTTTTTTTTTTTTGGAGAGATTTTCACTGTAGGGCGCGTGCGCTCGCCAGACAGACAGAGAGAGACATAGAGACAGAAAGCGAGAAATCACCCCACAGGGGGGATGGTCATGCCGCAATCCCTTCTCCTCCATTCTCCTCTCGGGATCTTGGGCACGCACGCACACGCGTCCGGCGTGAGTTTTAAGCCACCGGGTCCGGGACACGAACCGTGGTCGACTACATGGGAGTCCAGCGACATAGCCATTACGCTAACTGCTGGTTCCCTGATGGCTTGCTTTCTCATTTTTCCACTCTCTCTCTGACCCTTTGTGGTCAAACTAAAACAAGTAAAATAAAGTAAAATTAAATAATTATTTAAAAAAAACTTTAATAAGGGGGAAATGGCTAGGATATACTGCTGAATTTTTAAAATTATACACACACACACACACACACACACACACATATACATGTGATTCCAGTAATGTTAACATACATGTGTGTAGAAAAAGGACGGGAGAAATAGCCCCTAAATCTCAGTAGGGCAGATTGTATTTTCTTTTTTATTTTTAATGAATTATGTACTTTTTTTTAAAAAATTTGCTATGAGGCACGTGTGCTTCACCAGAGAGAGAGTGAGAGAAAGTGAGAAAGCAAGCTGCCAGGTCTGTACTGAAACTGAGGTCGGCCAGCTGGGAGTCCAGCCGCTTAACCACTGTGCCACCTGCTGGCCCTGAGGCGGCTTATATTTTCATCCTCTGGGCTCTTCATACGCTGTGACCTTGGTTCTCCCGTTGAGAGGTGGGGTCTAAGTTCCCGCTCCATGGACTCTTGACAGTGGAGGCAATGTAATTTCTGCCTGGCCCTGGGCAGCTCGTATGTGGAGCACAGACACCGTGTTCTGAGGAAGCAGTGGATACCCAGACCCGCGTGATCTTGCAAAAGCCTCAGCTGAGGCTCTGGTTGACTTCGGTCACCAGACATTCAAGTGAGGAAGCCCCAGCCACCTTTGTCAGCAACTGTGTGAGAAACCCCGAGAACGAGCAGCCTTAGTCCAGCTAAGCCCCAGAATGAGGAGATAATAATGACTGTTGTTGTTCAAAGCTACAGAGTTTGGGGTGATTTGTTATACTGCAGTAGATATCCAGCAATATTAGTTGATCACTGGATTGTGAGATTTAGGTATTAATAATCCTTTTGTATATTTTCTAAGAGTTCTACAATGACCATTTCTTGTATAATCAGTAACAACATTATTAAAAATAAAAACGAATTTTATCTTCCCTTCACCAAGGGAGAAACTAGGCCTAAATATGAATGTAGGGAGTTAAGCTAGACTTGGAGAAAATCTTTTCATGCCAGATTTATTAGATGCTGGAAAGAACGCGGTGATAAAACTAAGCGGATGCCGTGGAAGGTAGATTTGGAGTGAGTAAACTTGAAAATGAATCTGTTTTCTGGGTGACCTTGAACAAGCCCTTGCTGAAATTCACTTTTCTATTTTGAAAAATGCAGCTGGCTGCTTCAGGAAGATAACATCCACCAGGGCGCCTGGCCCAGAAAAGGCGCCGCGTGAGCGGTACGCAAATCCCGTCTGATCAATGCCCGTTATAAGCGGGCACTGCAAGCTTTGCGGAGGGCTTGAAGACCTGCCACCAGGGGCTACAGTTCGAATTAATACAATTGCCTGTTAAAGAGGCACAACCCAAAACTCAAAACAAAAAACCCCTAAAACAAAAATCCACACATGCAGCGGCTTTTCCAGCTGTCCTTGCCTACGGGGCTGGCTAAGGCCCCCGACACTCAGTCCCGCCCCCACGGCCGCTGGAGAGGGAGAGCAGGCAACCCGCGGGGCGGGCGCGCAGGTGGGGCCGCTGGGGGGGCAACCCCGGAACGCGCCTCCCTCCTGCCCTCGGCTCTCCGTACCCCTGCCCGCTTTCGGCAGTTCGGCTGCCAGTTGGTGCGTGGATGTGGGCCGCAGCCTCCATGGAAGCCTCCAAGCGTAGACCCGGGCCTTCCCTGGGGAAGTGGGTAGAAGGACCCAGAAACGGAAAAGAAGGAGCATCTCGGTTATGGGGGTGCAGGGGGAGGCCGTGAGCCCTCTTTGTGTGGTGGGGGCACGTGCTCACTGGAGCTCCGGGGGCATCCAAACCGAGAAACTCCCCGTAGGGAGGGAGGCTCTGATTTAGAGGCCAGCCTTACCCTTCACTTTCAGTGGCTGGTGGAGTTAGTTTTGACTGACATCTTTCTCACAAGGGTCTTGTCTTTGTCTCCGGGTGGCTTTCACTTTTTAAACTTAACCCGTGCATAGATGAGCCCATGATCACTGGGAACAGTCCTCGGGGCTGCCATCTTCCCTCCATCTCAAAGGCGACCTGTGGCAGAGAGCTGGAGCCGGTTCCGGAGAAAGGAGACTCTGGCGTGACCAAGATGGAGAGGAGATACAGTTGAGTTGTGTGCAATCGGGAGGGCAGGGTGGGTTTGGTCACCATATCCAAGGGTACTGCTGGAAGGTTGGAGGCTAGTTTGCGGACAGATGGAAACAACCGTGAGCAGTAATCTATGTCTGTATTAGCAAGAGCTGATCAGGCAGAGAGCACCAAAGCAGAGATTCTCTTAAGTTACCTCTTGGCTTCTCAACAAGAGAAAACTTTGTTTGTTTATTATTTTAATTTGACCAGTGAGGGACAGAGAGAGGGAAAATGAGAAAACAAACCTCTGGGACTTGAACTGTGGTCGACCATGTGGGAGTCTGGTGCCCTTTATCCATCAGCCACCAGCTGACCCCGGAAGTATTATATATTACAAATGTATAAAGAGGGGGCCAGCTGGTGGCATGGTGGTTAAGGTGCTGGACTCCCACATGGCCGACCATGGTTCAAGTCTCAGACTTAGCAGCTTGCTTTCTCGCGTTCTCTTTCTGCTGAGCACATGTTGCCCTACAGGAAATTTAAAAAATAATAATAACAATACAAATAATAATAAAATAATTCTTTAAAACAAAAAAATGAAACAAATGCCAAAGCTGATTGTCCAGTGCTTTAGTGGATTAAAATAAATTATTAGTGAGGCTGGTCAGTTGGCGTAATGGCTATGTCGCAGGACTCCCACGTAGTTGACTGTGGTTTGAGACCTGGACCTGGTAGCTTAACCTCACGCCGGGCGCATGTGTGTGCATGCCTAAGATCCCGAGAGGAGAATGGAGGAGAAGGGATTGCGGTGTGGCCATCCTCCTTGGGGGGTGATTTCTCGCTTTCTGTCTCTCTGTCTCTGTCTTTCTGGTGAGAGCATGGGCCCTATAGCAAAAACTTCTCAAAAAATAAATAAATACATTGATGAGGCTGGGATGGGACATGAGGCAGCCGCTCTTCGGAGCCTGTGGACTTCCACTTTTTACTCTTTACTCAAATTTGCTTCATGAGACAATTCAGGGAGAAATTTTGAACATTCTAAGAAAACATTTAAGTTGACTAATGCTGGTAGCTCTATAATTGGTTCCTATGGCTGAGGAGAATGTTTTGGGGACCCTTTTGCCTTTAGAGAAGAGTCACAGTCTCCCAGAAAACCTAGGGGCATTTTCTGCTCAGGCCTTCATTTACCCGTCATGGATGGGTGAGTGGCCTGCATGCTGCAAAAAGGGGTTGTAGAATGTCCTGTTTGGGGGGGGCAGCAGGTAGTATGACAGTTAAGGCTCTGCACTCCCACACGGCTGACCAATGTTCAAGTCCCTGACTCAGTTGCTTACTTTCTCACTTTCTCTCTCTCTCTCTCTGGTGAGTACACAAATCCTTTAGCAAATTTAATAATAATAATAATAATAATAATATAATAGTAATAATGACAATAAATACAAAAAAAGGATGTCCTGTCTGTGCCCCATCAAATCTTAGCTTGGTCCCTGGTCCTCTATTGGTTGTAGGGAACGTCTTGACACATTTTTTTCATAGAAAAACAAACAAAAAAATCCATCATAACTTTTCCAATGACCCAGTATATTCTAGGTCTGTGTTTTCCTTAGTCTCTCCTATAGTGTGGGGAAAGGAGGGAGGAGCAACTTATCACACCCTGCTCTAAGCTGGTGCCAGTAAAGCTGGAAGAATCAGATCTATTAATTGTCCAAAGGGTCTTGGACTACAAGGAGAAAAGGGATCTGGGATTCTAACTTGAAGCTCCAAATCTTTCTGTAGTTTTCAGTTTGGTTTCAGCTGCCCTCCCACACGGCTGACCAATGTTCAAGTCCCTGACTCAGTTGCTTACTTTCTCACTTTCTCTCTCTCTCTCTCTGGTGAGTACACAAATCCTTTAGCAAATTTAATAATAATAATAATAATAATAATATAATAGTAATAATGACAATAAATACAAAAAAAGGATGTCCTGTCTGTGCCCCATCAAATCTTAGCTTGGTCCCTGGTCCTCTATTGGTTGTAGGGAACGTCTTGACACATTTTTTTCATAGAAAAACAAACAAAAAAATCCATCATAACTTTTCCAATGACCCAGTATATTCTAGGTCTGTGTTTTCCTTAGTCTCTCCTATAGTGTGGGGAAAGGAGGGAGGAGCAACTTATCACACCCTGCTCTAAGCTGGTGCCAGTAAAGCTGGAAGAATCAGATCTATTAATTGTCCAAAGGGTCTTGGACTACAAGGAGAAAAGGGATCTGGGATTCTAACTTGAAGCTCCAAATCTTTCTGTAGTTTTCAGTTTGGTTTCAGGGTCAAAGAGAAAATTGCAACATGTTGTTTCTTTTTTTAAATTTGCCAGAGGGCCTGTACTCTTAAGAGAGACAGAGAGAGAGAGCACTCCCTTGATGGGGGCATGGTCACATTGCAATCCCTTCTCCATTTCTCCATCATGTTGGGATTTGGGGCATGCACACATGTGTGCCTGGTGTGTTTTTCAAGCCTCCGAGGCTAGGATTTGAACTGTGTGGTGGGGCATGTAAGATCTGGCTCCCCCAACTACTAAGCCATTGGGTCAGCCTAAAGCTGCTGCTTTGATGGTGGCTAGAGAGGCTCCATGTTTCTGTGTTAAGGGTTCCAGAAGGGCACTAGGCTCTGGGATTGCCAGGCCACACTAACTAAAGACCCATGGCTTCCTTTCTAGCTCTGTAGGTGTGTGTGTTGAGAAGGACCACATCTGAGTTCAATTTGGGTTTCAGGGAAGAAAGACTCTACATGTACATATGTGTGTTTGTATGCATTTTATTTCAGCAGAGACAGTCCACTGCTTTCATTATTTCCCAGGGGGTAGGGGTGGGGTGTTTGTAGTCCAAGAAGGATTGAACCACTGTGTTAGGTCCTTAGGATACTTGGTGAGCAGATACTCAGGGGTAGGAAACAGAGAGGTTAGAAAGATATCCAAACTAAGCTAGCATGGCTTGGTATATTATTTTTCTCCCTGCCAGACAGAGCTATTGTGAAAATCCATCGAAATGACAAGTGTGTGAAAGTGTTTTGGTTATGTAAGGTGTTATTTTCTGCCTAAAGAAATAGAAATAATTATCTTAAATTCCACAGATGGTAACAAAGACAGACTTCTTCTAAATTCTCCTTTTCTCCCTGAATTCTTTTTTGGTCGCCAAAACTTTTTCTTTTCTTTTTTTGTTATAGGGCTGGTGTGCTAGCTGGAAAGGCAGAAAGAGACAGAGAGACAGAAAGCGAGAAATAACCCCCCAGTGGGGGATGGCCATGCCACAATCTCTTCTCTATTCTCTCAGGAAAGACACACACAGCCTGTGTGAGTTTAAGCCACTGAGTCCGGGACTCAAACTGTGGTTGACTATGTGAGAGTCCAGTGACGTAACCATTATGCCATCTGCAGAACCTTTTCTTGATCTTCTGTATTGCATCATCTTTTCTTATTTCACAGTGTTTTAGAGACTCATTAGAATTTCCTGCATTATGGCTTAGTTGACATTTATTGCATTTGAGTAACAATTCTCATGTTGATACAAGGTGAACCTCTTGAGAAGGGTGTACTCCCATGGTGTTTTTTGTTTCTCACCCCTGCCTTGTGAACTAGACAGGGAGGTGGGGCAGGCACTGGAGATGCAGGTGGGGAGAGGTAATTGATGTCTTAGAGTAACACTGTGCTACTTACTCTATGCAAAGGCAGCATCGGTGTCAGAATGGAAGCTCCTACCTGGGAACGAGTGGGAGTATCTGGAGACCAGGTTTGGTGTCTTCAGCTCATGTTTGGGGCTGAGTGACTTCTAGGAAGATCCCGCAGTCAGCTGGAACTGGAAGAGTGTGCTGTCTGCCAATTTTGCAAAGAGATTGCTCTACCCATCCTTGCCCATCAGATAGGGCTTCCCCATTATTGCAGACTCAGACAGTGGCTTTTCTAGAGTGTTGCTGTCATGAAACTTAGTAAGCAAGCAAGGAAAGTTTTAGGTGTGATTTCCTCTCACTGCTTAGAGTCATGGAATGCATTTAAATTTTACCCTTAAAAAAAACCCAAAAATCTTGTCAAGGGTCCTCTCTGTTAGCAATTCTTGCTAAATTGTTGAATTCCTGAGTTCTGTGGTAGAATATATAATTAAAATGTTCATGTGCTATGATGACCCAGCTGTGGTGGCACAGCCATGGTGTGCCGGTCTAGATGCTAGAATTCCATGGAACCCAACAGTTTGGTTCCCAGGTCAACCTGTACATGCTGGGTGGGCCTGTGATTCTGGTTGGCAGGTCAGGCTGGAAGTGGGGTGATCCCAGGATGAGACTCTGTTGAAAGACCTTGCCTTTCTCTTTCTCAGAAAATAAACTTAAAAATATATATACATGTGGGGGTCAGCAGGTGGCATGGTGATTAAGGCGCTGGACATTCCTCCCATGGCCAACCACAATTTGAGTCCCGAACTGTGGCTTGCTTTCTCGGTTTCCTTCTGTGTGTGTGTGTGTGTGTGTGTGTCTAGTCAAATTAAAATAAATGAATGACTAAATAAAATGAAATAAATCATTCTTTTAAAAAAATATACGTGCTCTGAAAAGGCACACGTTAAATTCTGCAGGTGAGCCAGCTGGTGGTGTGGTGGTTAGGGTGACACCATGGGTCCCCTATGGCTGACTGTGCTGTTTGAGCCCAGACCCGTCAGCTTGCAAAACATGCCACGTGCTCCTGTGTGTGTGCCCAAAATCCTGCAAGGAAAGACAGATGGAGGAGAAGGGGTTATAGTCTGATCATCTCCCCTGGGGGGAGATACTTTCTCCCTTTCCCCCTCCAGTGAGAGCACATAGTCTCTGTAAAAAAATTAAAAAAAAATCCTATGGACAAAAATGACCATAAATACATGATATTATAAATACCTTAGAACTCACATCTGAGTGTCAACCTAGAAGACTCCTCAGCCCCTGGCTTTTTTCCTTCTCCACATATGGAGGCCCCTCCTACATTCCTACACATACATTTCAGACCTTTTTCCATAGATACATTTTTAGAAGTGGAG